AATCATTTAAAACAACAAAGGAGGGCCTGCCGAGTGGCGCGATGGTTAAGAACTCGCTTGGGATGCCAGAGGGCCCCGGTTCGGATCCCACATATGAGGGCCAGTGACACTGCCCTCTACAGCTAAGATGCTGAACAACAGCTCAACCTGGAGCTGGGCTGCCATGAGTCGCTGGGACGGCATAGGCTGCAGTCCCTGTGGCAGTGGATTGCCATGGGCTACCGTGTGTAGCCAGCAGCCAGCGTGAGCGGCCAGCAGCCGCAGTGAGCGGCCGTCCAGAAGCCGGCGACTGATCTGCCTCGCCAGGGAAGAGCGCAATGATGGTGCCAACTTGGGCCAGTGAAGCAGTGTCCTCCACAACTAGATTGAAGAACAAAACGACAGCAACTTGTCTGTTCCCCTTCCCCTAATTCCCCAGTACTGTTCCCATCCCCCCAATTACCCAATAAAAATATTAAAAAAAAAAAAAAACAAATGAGGAAACAAAAACTCACACAGATAATAGTTTAGTGATTACCAGAGGGTTGGGGGGAGGGGCGTGGTAGAAGAAGGTGAAAGCGATCAAATATATAATGATGGAAAGAGAACTGACTGAGTGGTGAACACACAACATGATATATAGATGATGTTACAGAATTGTACACCTGAAATCTATGTAACTTTACTAACAATTGTCACCCCAATAAACTTTAATTTAAAAAAAGATAATCATTTCCTTTAACCCCCAAAAGTTTTCTCATACCCCTTTATAATACTTGGGTTCTCCACCTACCCAAACTGACAGATTCTGCTTTCTGCCACCATACGTTAGTTCGCATTTTCTAGAATTTGGTATTAGTGAAATACAGTATGTACATTTTGTCTGGTTTCTTTCACTCAGCATAATTATTTTGAGATTTATTTTGCCTTATGTGTCAAGTTTGTTGTTCTTCATTGCATAATATAACACAATTTATCTACCTTTTGATTTGGATTGTTTCAAATACAAGTGCTATGAACAATCAGGTGCAAATCTTTGTATGGGCATATGCGTTCACTTCTCTTGGGTTAATACCTAAGAGTTGAATGGTTGGGTCATATAGTTGTGTGTTTAACTTTTTAAGAAACTGCTAGACAGTTTTACAAAGTCATTTTACTATCTTATATTCCCACCAGCAGTATTTAAGAGTTCTAGTTGCTCTATATCCTCACCCATCATTTTACATCGTCAGTGTTTTTAACTTTAGACATTTATGTGTAGTGGTTATGTCCTTCTGGTTTTAATTGCATTTCTCTATTGACAAAATTTTGAGCAAGCATCTTTTTGCATTTATTTTCTATCCATATAATTTCTTAGGTGAAGTCTCTGTTCAGATTTTTTCCCATTTTGAGTTGAATTGTTTTCTTATTGAGTTTTTCAGTTCTTTATGTACTGTGGGTACAATTCCAAATTTGCAAATATGTTCTCCCAGTTTGTGCCTTGTCTTTTCATTCTCTAAAAAGGGTATTTCCAAGAACAGGAGTTCTTGATTTTGATGAAGTCAAATTTTGTTTTTTTGTTTTATCAGTTTTGTCTTTTATGGTCCATACTTTTGTGTTATATCTAAGAAGTCTCTGGTTAACCCAGACCACAAAAGTTTTCTCCTATATTTTCTTCTAGAAGTTTTACATGTTTAGACATTATATTTAGATTTTAAATCCTTTTTGAGTTGACTTGTGTGTAAGATGGGATGCATGAATCAAAGTTTATTTTTTTACATATGAATGAATATCCATGTCGCTCTCTCCTATCAAGCCTTATATTCCACCCCCTGATCCAACACCCTCCAGATATGCCCCAGACATATTTCCTGCCAATACATTTTAACCAGAACCTGCGATTCATTCAGCTTGTAACCTATGCTCCTACAGGAAGGACTGTAGTTCCCCACTTAGCATATGCTAAGACTTGATCCTAGCTATCAGTTTGAAGTCAATGAGAGGTGGCAGGCGTGGGTATTGAGGAGGACAACTGTCAACTTACAATGCAAGTGCCTCAGATAAAGTCTTTGTAGATCTCCAGGCAATTGCAGGCTGCTCTCCTCTAGCAAAATGGAGGAGGCTGCTTCTGCCTGCTCAAAGGTTCAAGAAAACCTGAGGGTTCAAGATCAGACTCACCAACACAAATGTCCCATCCCATGATTCAGGCTTCCAATCTTATCCTCAGCATGCTGGCTTCGTTGGAGGAGATGATGAACACTGTGCATTGTTTCCTTTGCAACGTTGCCTCTTTACTATTAGATTTTGACTGATTGTCAGTGCAGATGACCTGCATTTGTGGATGAAACTGTCCTTAAAAGGTGATACTGAGGCACCCTGGCTTACGCAGCATGCCTTGACTTAGTTAGTTAACATGAACCTGTCATTTTCTTTTTTCAAGGTTTCTAATGCAATTAACAATAGCTAACCAACACCTCCATCTTTATAATTTCCATTAGCCCCATTCCACTGTAATGCCACAGCTACTGTAACCTAACACTTCACCTTCCACTTGCACTTCACCCAAAGTCACTATGGTAACTGTGATGCATCTACATGCCAGGAGTTATCACTACCCCACTCATCACCACCTATGTGGTCTTTGTTGTCATCTGTCCAGTGAATGATCCAATAACAGAATCCTATCCTGAAGGTTTGCTTTCTAAGTATATTCCTGGTACCCATTAGCCTGGATTTACTCCCCACCCAAAAGCAAAGCCTAAGACAAATGTTTACATACGGGTAATTCATTTGGGAAGTGATCTTAGGGAACTGTTCATACACACAGATCCAGGGAAAAACCTTAAGACTGAAAATCTACCTGTGTAAATGGAAGGCAGGGAAAGATCAAAGAAAGAGACAGGCCACTCCATTCTGGCAATTAACAGAGTTCGTTAACAAAAACTTACAAACGAGGCATGTCTTGGGAGACTGCAAGACAAAGTGGATATCCTCCATGCCACGTGGCAGGCGCCAAAGAATTATATAGAACGGGGTAGAATGGAGAGGGATACTGGTACATGATCAGTCCCAGGTGAGGGAAAATGCCTTACAATGCCCTGTTCCAAGAACCAGCATGATCTGGGACACAGGGGAGGTACTGCTTTATGTCTGAAGGAAAGTATCAATTTTGATCAGATAGTCTCTGAGAGGATTTCTAGGAAACAGTCTCGGCTCTGGCCCATGTCCAGCTTGTGGGTCCAGTAGCAGTCATATCATGGAACAGTCTCTCCTCCACAGAACCAAAAGAAGGGACCAGGAAGTGGAAAAGGGAAAAAGAGAAAGCTAAAATAAGGATGTATTATGGAGTTGGCCACTATTATGGGTGACTAGTACTCAATTCCATAGATTTTCTGAGGAAATTTATGAAAGGCATCTCAGAGTTGTCATCCCAGCAGACAGAAGAGGGAGCATTTATCTATTGGCTTGCACCTGTGATTAGTGAAGGGTGGTCCCAAGGTCATTAACTCGCCCATCTTTTATACATGTAAAAGGGTTTCCAGGGGGGCGTCCCGAACCATAGTGTCAGAGGATCCCTGGAGAAGAAAGCAAGAGCATCAGACATGGTCCCAAGACAAAGTGCCATCAAATGGCTTCCACATGAAGCTGTCAGATGCCTACTTGGAAGTGTTTCACAGCAGTATGAGTAAAAGGTAGAGTCAGGAGGATTTGAAGTGGCACACAAGAGGTCAATAGAGCTATATAGACAGTGCATAGTTAACAAAACACTTAAAAACCAGTAGAGACTGCTGCAAAATGATGAGATAATTTTGAAATAGTTTTTTATTTAAAAACAAAAATCAATGTTACAAAGTTTAAAAAATAAAAAATTAAGGGCCGGCTGAGTGGCGCGATGGTTAAGAACTCGCTTGGGATGCCAGAGGGCCCCGGTTCGGATCCCACATATGAGGGCCAGTGACACTG